CACACACACACACACACACACACACACACACACACACACACTGTCTTGCAGAGAAACTGCCTGCCTGGAATGTTAGAGCTGAACAAAAGAAACAGCTCTTCCCCGTGCCAGGAACCATGGTGAAACGTCATGAGTCTAAACACACACAACCTAGGCTTTCACAAACACAGAAGCTGAAAGCCCGCTGCACTATGGCTCAAGACTGCTGGAGCCTCTGGGCACCCATCAAAAGCAGCTGAAAATACTTTAAGGAAAAAAGCCCGCATTCACCCCAGTTTCAAAGAATTTTCACAAAGTTCCAAGGAAAATAATCAGCTCCCTGTTAAAGTATAAAATATACCAGTGACACAAGGTGACAATGCAGGAAGATTAGGAGTCAGCAGAAACAACGGGGCAACGGCAGGCGGTGGAGCATCAGACACCAAGCGCAAGACAGCCGCTTGGGATGCATGCTAACGAGGGGTGTAGAGTATTTGGAAAAGACTCCATTCATTCTCCTAAAGACGAAAAACCTGATATTTGTTACTTAAGAGGAGGAGTCAGCGTCCAAGGCAATTAGATGTCAGAAGGAATAGTGACGAGCAAGATCACCCATCTGAAGAAATTAGCCTGGCTCAGGGTAAAACTCAGAATGGTTCTGAGCACTAGAGATGGTCTAAGATTGGCACAGACACCTCGTTGGCGTGAGAGGAGGGGAGATGGGCATAGGTAACCCTGAAAAGGTTAAGGGTCCTTCTAGTCGTAAGGAAGGCTAGATGCTGGAGAAGCCTTAAGCAGGATAAACAGGACGAACCCACACTGGGCTGTGTCATAGGAAGCTGTAGCCCGCCAAAGCCAAGAGGTGGGAGAAGTAGCCAGAGCACGGAGACCAACAGCCTCGTGTCGAGTTAGGGTCAGGGGAGACCATAGCCTCGTTGGCAGCAGCAAAGAGCCCGGAAGCAGAGTCCTTCACAGGCCTGAGAGGAAGGACCTGACCCATAATGAGCAAAGCCAAGGTGACTGTCTAGCATTGTTTGGAGGAAGGCACTCAGGTGGGTGGCATGGGCCACACCCAGATGCATAATGTGGACAGGGCAATGGCTGCCATTTGCTTCAGCAAACCTGTGTCCAGATCTCCTGGGACGACAAACCTGACTCTCTGGTGACACTCTGGTAACAGTGCACCCTCCTCACACCTTAGCTGGCACTGATACCCTCCTTTCTCCTGCAGAAGTGTTGACAACAGGGGTGCCCACTGTAGCTGCTGCCAGGAATGACTGTGGGGCTTTGGGGGAAAGGGTGAGGGGGCAGGGAGCAAGGGCAAGTGGCCTCTGTGGTTGCCTTTCCCGACCTCTGAGGGAAGAAGGGCAGTGATGGCCTCTCTGAGACGGATTTGTTTGAAGGGACATATGTGGGCCCAGGCCCTCCCTCAGCTCCTGCCTTCATAAGGAGAGCGCATACTCTTCAAGCGACTTCAGAAGGGAAATCTTGCCACTGGTGTGTGCTAGACCCTTGGATGTGCGTTCTGACCCTTTGGAGCAGGGCTGCCGAGGGACTACTTTAGCTTCAGTTGTGTAGTGTCGCCTCTTCAAGGCCACAACCTTCTCAGGAGGTCCCACATCTATTGACAGATCAGCAGACCAGACCCGGACATCTCCCAAGGCCTGTGACATTACTCCCCGATACTACACTTGAGTGGACAAGACTGTGGCTCTCTAGTGGTCTCCGGCCAGGAGCTTAAGAACAGCTGTGCAACCCAGGTTTTTGAGTAACCTCTCTGTGCGGCCAACAGTGTCACAAGAACCATCCAGTCTTGTTCTCCTTTCCCTCATGACACAGACTGTCGTGCCCAAGCAAAATGGATGGTGAGGCCTCCCACCAGGAGGGCTTGCATGAAGCCAACATCTCCCTTGCTGATCCTTGCTGCCCACCTACCACCATCGGCTGCAGGCACCGAAATAGACAGGGTGTGGGGGCACCTCCCTCTTGGACCATCGACATACCTCCTGCAGCTCTAGCTTGCCCTGCAGGCGGAGCAAGCTGTGTGCTGTCCTGGCCAGCTCCCTGGCCAGCGTGTCATTGGCCTTCTGCATGTGCTCCAGCTGTCCCCGGAGGAGGGTGTTTACTTGGGAGAGGCCCATGCTCCTAGATGGACAAAAGCCACAACTTCATGTGTGGTGACTTCCTATAAAAGCACGATGAGTCGGGGGCTAAACCAAGGGTCTAAATGGTGCCCCGAGACTCCTGAACTCGGCTCAGGTGCATGGCCCCCAGCTGCTCTCCCAAGCAGCAGGACCACCTGCAATGAGCCCCACGTGGAGCCAGCATCAGAAGGACTCTCCCCAGGACCAGCTCAGCATCGTCTTTGACCCAAGCTGTCCCTCTCCCCTAACCACTCCTCTGCCTGTAAGAAATTTACAGGGTACAAGAGGCTCAAAGGGAGCCTTGGAGGAGCAGGCTAGCAGGAGCTGGGCACCTCTGGGAGATGCTAGTCCTCCTGTCAGCTCTTTGGGCATCAGGCTTCCCTGGGGATCTTCTTCCCCCTAAAATGGGTTTTCAAAATGCTCTTCAGCATTTTCTTCCTTCGCCAGATTCCTGGAGGATAAGCCAACCACAGGATGTTAGTGATGGCGAGATGGGCTCGAGTGGAGCTCCAGGGTGGTTTCTGGGACTGGGGTGTGGTCCAATCTTCCCAAGAATGAACAGAAAGGCCTGTTGACATCAGAGAGGTTTGAAGCCAAAAGTTCTGGAGTTGTGGTTGGGGTGGTAAGGGGAGCTAGAGAAGGGTATCCAGGATTGCGTGTGCCAATGGCTCATGGTTGACTGTGGTAACCCACCAACAGTGATGGCCAGGCATCCTGGCATCACACTTGGGATGGGGTCAGGGAACCCTTGGCAATGGCTGTGCCTTGGGAGGCTGCCCATGGGCCATAACCTATTCAGGAGGGGGGTGAGCAGATGCTCCCTCAGATGACATGGATGCTGCCATGTCCAGGGTGAGGGAATATATACTGAGGAGTGTGGGCGGAGGACAAGGCCATCTCCAATGCCAGCCGTCACTTGTCAGTGGCCTCTCCTAGGTCCCCTGACCCCAACGCCAGGATATTATGACTTCCAGCCGCTCTGATGTCTTTGCCTCCTGTACTCAGGGGTGAAGATACTCACTATTGAGGAGACTAGGAGGAGTCTCACTCACCCAGCAGTGACGGGAGCTCTCAGCTCTGTATTGTCTGTCCCTTGGCCTGTGACACAGGGAAGGGGAGGGAATCTGCTTCCCACCCTGCAGACTGCCTTTCTCTCCCTTCTCACTTTACCTGGCTCCGAGGGATGAGAAATTGTATGTGAGGATATGGGAGTGGTCTCCAATGGGAAGCGAGGGAGAGCAGCATGGTACCCAACTCTGCTTGCTACTGGCCCTTTCTTCCCAGGATCCCTGTGCCATTTTTTACAGACAATGTTAACCCAGAATAGCTTTGATGGGCTGGCCAATGGCTGCAAGGCATAGCGGGATCTGCCCCCTCTAGGATGATGACTGCACCCCTGCCACCCCAACAGCCTGTCCATTGGGTCTCACCTCTGCTGTGAGACCTCCAGCCGGCCGAGTGCCTCCTCCAAGTCCATGCTATGCTCCAGCTCTGACTTCCGAAGCCGGGCCTCAGTGGTGTCCAGGCGGGCCTGCAGCTAGGAAGGAGTGTGAGCCCTGGTCCACCTCTCTCTAGTCTTTGACATAATGCCTGCTCCGGGCAGAAGCAGGATACAGGGGCCCCCAGGGCCTGTTCATACCCTGCTTCTCTGTCTAGTTCAGAGTGGGGGGGCATGCTGACTGAGCAGATGATGCTTGGTCCTAGTAGGCCTGGGAAGACTATGGGAGTGGTGGGACCAGCAGGAGGCAGGGCTCTGGGGGTCCCTGGAGACACTTCACCGCTGGTGGCTGGAGCAGGGATAGCTGAAAAGCAGGCTCTGCCATGCCTCTGTGGGGCATGAATCTGGACCCTTCTGGCCTGATCTATTTTCCAAGTTGCACCTCCCCTCTCAACCTTCATCCTTAGCAGGTGGGGACTAACTCACATGGTGCCAAGTCCCCTTGCTATGAACACAGAGCATTATCCCAAGGGGTTAGGAAAGGAGGCTGGGGACATCGTGGGTGTCAGGAAAGCACCCCCAAGGCCTACCACCCACAGCCACTCAGCCGTTACTATGGTGTGGATCTGAACCCAGAGCCTAGGAAATCACAGGGTCACGGAAGTTCCAGGAGAAAGACACAGAGAGCAGGGGGATGGGATGGGACACGGGAGTGGCTGATGGACAAGGGCCTGATTCTCAGCCACCAGCAGTGTGACAGTTGGGATCAGAGGACTCCAATGATGAGGGATTGTAGAGTCATGTGGGGAGGACATGCTGGACACCCTTCACCCGGGTCCACCTGTGTGCTGGGAGTGGTTTGGGGCAGGGTCTTCTGGCACCCCCATCTAGCTGGCTGTGAGCTGAGCTCTGACTCATAGCTTACTAGTTTACTACTCTTTGGAAGGACTTCTGCAGCTTCTATTCCCTGAAGTCAATTCCCAGCATCTCCCGCCCTGTGCTAGGAAGATCTTTACCCCCAGAATGCACCAGGGCAGAGACTCACAGGAAGAGCAGCCTCATGGAGCTCCTGAGCCAGACCAAGATAAGGGGGTCCTCACGGTCTTTCTTAGATGGACTCTTGGGGTGGGGGCTGCAGAAAAGAGCATCTCCCATATGGAGTAGTTTTGTGGAAAGAGCACCAGAGAACTAGGGACCCTTGGCAGGTGGGCGCTTTAGGGCTAACGTGGTTGTACTAGGAGGCATGGTCAAGCATGGTCAAGCCTGTGGTTTTTCACAGGTTTCTGATTACATGTCCTAGGAAGAGAATATCAGGGCCAGACTTGGGACTGGGCATGGTTGTACAGCCTTAGGGCAGTGGTTCTGTTTGTTTGTTACTGTTATGAATCATAATGTAAATATATGATAGCCAATGTCTCTGATATGTGACCCCCAAGAGGGTCACAAGACTCATGGCATTAGAGGAACACTGGCCAGAGCCGAGCCTTAGTTTCCTCATCTGTCCTGCCATTCAGACCTCAGGCTGGGTCCATAGATGGCCTGGTGGTTGATGCGGGGGGTCAGAGGCCCACTACATGGCTATTCTCCATTATTCTGTCCCTAGCTTGCCCAGTTCTGCTTCTGATGCTCATGACTTGGAGAGGATAGATAACGCAAGGGCTCCTGCCTGGAAAAAGCCTTCACTTTTCTGCTTGGGTTCCTCTGTCTTCATGGAAAAGGCACTCCCTAGCCCACAGGGATCTCCCTGAAACCTCTGGCTGAAGCCTGTATCTCAGAGGTCACCCTCACTTCTCCTGTTCTGAGGTCTGGCAATAAGTAGGTGCTTAGGAGAAAGGGCTGGGGCTTGGAGCCAGGTGTTTGCCCACAGGCTCTGCCTGGGGTCCAGGGCAGTCCGCCCTGGTTTAATCCTCTGTTCAGAAGCTAGCTTTGTGATTATGATTGACAAGGACCAACGGGTCTTCACTGACCAGATGGTCATCACTGACCATCCTGGAGCAGATTCGAGACAAACATTTGAAGGGGACATCTTCTGCTTCACACCTTTTACTTCTAGTCTTGATTTTTCCATCTGTTGCCCGGTGTCCCAAGACTGGCTGATGGCCCTGCAATTATGATTGCCAGTCCTGGGAGATGATCCCTAATAAGGGTGAGGCTGTGAGCACTGGCCTGCAGGTACCAGCTGCACACTCACCCTCTGGCTGACCATGTGACACTTGTTAACCAGCTCCTCCCGCTCAGCATCTGCCTGAGCCAACAGGTCCTCCAACCGGGCCAGCTCTTCTTGCAGGAGTTCACTCTCCTCCTGTGTATGGGTTGTAGTAGCTGGCAGCCCTGTGGTAAGCAGAGTATCCAGATCAGGCCAGGGCCCTACCCAAACATCGTACTGCTAGGCCTGTAGCAACAGGAGAGGGCTTCCATAAGGAACGTCACTTCCTCTCCTGTTACTGAGCGCCCTCCTACCCTTGTTGCCTTTGGTAAACCTTGTTAACCCCCTTAGACTCATGACCAGGCCAAGCCCCTGCAATTAAAGCATGCATGGAGTTACCACCTGTCGTATCTGGGTCCTGAGCAGTTGTGGAGCTGCTGCTTTGGGGTAGCAGGACCCTGCCCACAGTAAGGATGCTTTTCCAAATTGCAGTGGTGTTTCTCTGTCCTTCCTATGCACCCAACGTAGCCTGGGGCCGCCAGGAGATTAGACAGGCTCTTACAACACAAGGGAGCCATCAAGACCCCTGCAGAAGGGGTCATGAGCTGAACTGGGGTCAGGGAGCCTGACTCCTATTTGGTCTCCATGTGGGGATGGATTCCTTGGAGCCTGTTCCTGCAGTGCGATGATAAAAAAAAGCTACGTACATAGGGTTGGATGAAGAGCAAAGAAAGTTCATGATGTCTGTGCTTAACCTAAACTGAAAGTGTCAACCTTCAGGATTTTTCACTCCGATGGGGGGAAAAAAAAAGAAGGTGGATAAAATCAAGACACAATGGCATAACGGTGTCACAACACAGAGGTCAGCTCTGTAGATCATTGATAACAGCCTCCTAGCTATCTGCATGACTACTGGGGACCCAATGAGAAGACTGTGGTTGGGAAAAATGGGGCTAGGAGAGTCTGGGATGGGCAGCAAGGGCCACAGACACTCTTAATGGTGTGGCTCCCTGAGACAAGATTCCAGTGTGCTGCTCTGAACCCCGACCTGAGCAGCCTTAGCACCCTCACCTGGGAGTGGCTCCTCCGCCAGGCTGCCCGACACAATCTCTCGGATGCGGGCTGGCACAGGAGTGGGTGAGGCCCGCTGGCCTTCTCCACGCACAGTCAGTGCCCGGTCCCCCCGGCTGGCCATGGGACTCAGAATGGTGTCTTCCAGCTTCTGAAAAACACCCCAGAGCCCTGGTTCTTACAGGCCCCGGACAACCTGCAGGCGCCTCACACAAGCTCACTGGTGTCAATGGGGGCCACCACATGGTCACTTCAATGCTGCAAAGAGTCCTGGAGATAGCAAAGTGGAGCCAGGCTGGTCACTCAAGCCACATGCCTTAAGTCTCCCCACCTGTGGGGTGGGACTGTGAGAAAATGGTGATTTGGGAGGATTCCTGGCCAAGGTCAGCACAGCTCACCTCTAAGCCCTTTCCAACGCTAAGCAGGCTAGGCTAAGTCCCTGGCTGACTCAAACTAGAAAGCATGAGGCTTGTGATTGGCTGACCACAAGTGTGTGGTGCCCTTTTCCAGCTATCTAAGCAGTTTGCTGGTTGCTCTTTCTGGATTAGACCCCTCTCCTGTGTTCAGCACTCTAGTGTTGCAGTATCAGAGCCAACAGAAAGCTCATTCCGAATGGTTTCTTTGTCCATGCTGTGGTCTTTATCATGAGTAACATAGGCTAGGCTGGCTGAATGAGTTACGGACAAGACCCCAGGCTTCTAAATTTAGCAAAGGTAGAAGCAGCTGCATCAAACGGTACCAGGAGCCAAGAGCCCTAGCACCTGAAGCTATGAGCTGTCACATAACGCCAGGCTTGCAGCGGAAGTGTTGGAGAGAGCAACTGAGGGCAGAAACTGAGAAATTAAGAAAGGTAACAAGGAAGCTAAAACTCTGTGAAGAGTCAAAGGGCAGAGCCTAGACTATGGGGATTGCAAGGCCCTGGAGAATTTGGGAGAGCTACTGAGGGTTCTAGAGGCAAGGCTGGGTACCTAGAGCTGAGGACAGGGACAGGTGCTCTGAGCCCAGAGCAGTCGACCTCTGTCTCAAGCACCTAAAGCTATAATAGAGCTGCTGCCTATGACAGCTTGGAACCATAAGCCTCTTGGTCCCAAGGCTTAGTGCTGTGGGCCTCTGGCTTTGGAAATTCAAGCCTCTGAAACTCAAGGTCACCAACACCAGGGGAACAGCTCTTGCCTACCCAGAATCCCTACTTAGAGAAGGTCTTTGGGCTCTCAGATTCTTAGCCACAAGTTGTTGGGGTGGAAGAACATGTTTGGGGGAAGGAATGGACCTGGGACTGAGACTTAGTCAGGACCTGTAGGCAGACTTGTTCTGTGTCAGCTGGAAACTTGCAGGTATTGGACGGGCAGACAGTACGATGGGGATTAAGAAGGGCCCCCCTGCCCTGTGCATGAAGGATGTTTGAATGAAAGGCTAATGACCAGTGATTGATGCCAGGGCCCCATTTCCAGAGCTTCCCAGCCATAGCTCTGCCTGCTGTCCTCCACAGTGGGACTCCCCAGATCCCTTCCCGCCTAGAGTCCCTTCAGGGGACACTCAGTAGCCTCCTGACTTCCATTTTCCAGTGCTCACTGATGACATTGTCTAGTCTGGGGCCCTCCTGGTTCTGACTTTCAGGCCTGTGCTTGTGGGGAGGCCCAGCTTCTCCAAGCCCCTCCCCTCCACCTTCCTTACCCATTTCACCTCTTGACTGTGGCCAGGCCTCTTTCTACTCTGAATCCTGAATGCCTCTGTGGAGATAAACCACGGCGGCTTTCACCTAGTCCTCCCAAATATACTGATGCACCCCCTTCTTTCCGAGACAGAGTTTCTCTGTGTAGTCCTGACAGTCCTGGAACTCTCTGTAGACCAAGCTGGCCTTGACCACAGAGATGCGCCTGCCTCTGCCTCCTGAGCGCTGGGATTAAAACCCTGTGCCTCTGCTCAGCTGATTCCCCTCTTAGGCTAGCCAGATTGGAGTCACCCGAATGTCCAGGCTCTCCACAGCCCTGGACAGGGCCTGTCCTGGTCCCCCAGGAACCCTGCAAAGGTGAGATGCTGCAAATGAGTGAGCTCAGGGCCTGGTTAGCCTGCCCCTTCAGGCTGGGCAAAGACTGACATTCCTAAGGTTTTGCACTTCCTCCCCTAGGTGGTCTTGGGAAGGTGCCTTCACTTCACTTTCCTCCAGAGGACCTCCCAGTCTTGCTCTGAGTGGGCGGTAAACAGTCTTCCTTGGGTGCAGCAGCTCCATTGGTGAGGAGCAGAGCTCTGCTGGCTCCTTCCTCCCAAGACCACCAAGGCCTCTCTCTCCTGCTTTTCTGAGAGTTATGGTTGGAAGTGCCCAGCCATGGCTGCCCTGTTTTGCACAGGGAATCCTAAGGCCTAGTGGGGTAGCAAACATCACCCCACGCCCCCAGATTAAAGACGTGATGCTGGCTCCATTCAGAGGTTCCCTCCAGGCCGGAAGGACCCTGCCTCCCTCCCTCCTCTCCCTGGAGCATCAGCGGCGCCACCCGCTAACGGGAAAGCAGCAGCGCAGCACAAACTTGACTCATTCCTAACGTTTACAGAGGGTCACTTATTAGCCGGGACGTCCCGAGAGGCGCTGGGGGCGTAATAGGTTCCAGCTGTGGCCGGGTGCCTGCGATGGGTCGACGCCCAGCCAGAGCAGGAGGGGTGCGGAGGGGGAGCGGGAGGGGCGCGTCCCTGGCAGCCCGCCCTCCCCTCCCGCCTCCGGTCCCCAGTGCGCGGGAGGATTGCAAGCGAGGGCTGCCCCGCCTCCACGCAAATGGCGCGGGGGAGGGGCGCGGGGCTCTGCTACTTCGTGCAAGGAGGTCTGTGCTGACCCGGGCTTGGATCCCCTGGGATCTTACCCGGGACCGCCTCCTTCCCCATCCCCAAGTCTGGCCCGTAGTGGGGAGTGGGGCTAGGGTTGTTTACAGCACATGCCCCACAGGCTTTGCCCATGTTGCCATCAGTGGCCCCCAGCCCGGGGGTGGGGGGTCACCATCATCTCCAGGGCCAGGATCTTTCCTATCCACTCTGGTTATGGGGAAGGTTATAGCCAGCGAATGGGGGACCTGCATAGCCTCTTGGGGGGAACCTCACATTGTGGGAAGGACACCAAGGCTTGACAAAGGGGACTTCCATGGTCACTTTACTAAAAGACCTCCGACTGAGATGACCTGGGCCATGTTTGTTCCTACCTATTCCTCAGCTCAACCTATGCCAAAGACCCCAGGGGGCAACTGTTTGAGACTCAGTGGGGACAAACGTCGTTGCCTCTGATTCTTCTGTGGCAGTATGGAGGGAGTCCCATCTAGGGGACTGGCCTCTTTACCTCACTCTCTGGGTCACAGCAGGACTCCCTTCTAAGAGAAATGATAGGGGTCCCCACTGTGCCATCAGTGTGAGGTAACCATGGATGCATCTTATGGAGTATGAAACACAGGGCCTTATTATAGGCCATCCTGTGTTCTAGAGCCCCAGGGGTTGTTGAGTGAAGGATGGGGTTCAGGGCTGGAAAGGAGAGAGACAGAGCAAGAGGAAGACCTGGTACCAGCTGCCTAATAGGTCTTCTGCACCCCGATAATAGGTCGAACTCTGCCCACCACCCCCTGGCCCCACGGGAATGGAAACTGCTCCAACCCTTCCTTGTTAACTGGCCTCCCTGTCGTCCTGCGGCCTAGGAACCCCACACTGCACTTTTGCCCTTGCCTGGAGACTGACTGGAATGGGGAGTTCTGGGGGTGGGGTATGTTTCCTTCCCGATTGGGGCGCAGCAGTTGTGGATGGGGAGGTTGCGGTCAGGGGCAGGGCTCCAGTCCTCAGTGTGGGGCCGTATCCAGGAAAGGCGCCTATTCCAAGGATGGGCTCCAGCTTGGGGCCCTGCCCTGTCCTCCTACCCTGCCCCACAGGCATGACCCTTCTACCTGCGCTCCTTCCGGATTCGGGATGGTGATCACCCTGAGGGGGATCCAGGCAACGTCCAAGTACAACCCACTGGTAAGGGGGGGGGGCGCAGGGGAGCCCAGACGCTGAGGGGCGTGGCCTGGTCAGCTCTGCGCTGCTGTCTAGATTGGGCAGGAGGAAGAGTCAAGTGTGTCCCCTGCAGGGGGCTTCTTGCGTAGGATTTGGGTGGCCTCTCATTGCTGCTTCAAAGAGTGGGGGCAGAATAGAGCAGGGACAGGCACTCCAAGTGGTCCCAGAGGGTAACCCAACATTCTCCTTCCAGGCTGCAGGTAGAAGAGTAACAAACAAGACAAAGCAAGACAAAAACAAACAGAACCCATTAAACTCTCTAGGGGTGTAATTGAGGAGGTGGTTTCCGGTTTCCCAGCCTAACCAGAACCAAGCAGGGATGGCAAAGGCAGAGTGTGGAGCTCCCACTACCCCCAATCTCCCCCTGGGTGGACTCCCTGAGGTCCTCTTACAGTGCCAGCAGCACCGGCCCACTCCCTGAAGGCCTGCAGGGTCTTCCTGAGGCAGGGATGGTGTGACAGGTCAGGAAGCAGAAATGGCAAAGATCACGAGCTGATTCACGGCACCATGCTCATGACTGTGGCCACAGACAGGTGGGCAGTCTCGGTGCTAGTCCCCATTGGAGAGCAGAATGGATTTTAAAAGGAACTTGGCTGCTTCGGGTATGGAGAAAGGAAGGGCTCAGCCATATCTTTCAAATAAAGAACTCAGCTGCAAGCAGGGGGTCTCCAAATCTCCATTTAAAGTCTCCCAGGGAGAAAGCAAAGCCAGTGTAACTTGATACTGTCTCAGACCCTAACCTAGGCAGCAGGCAGGCCAGGGCAGGGTGACAGAGGTGGAGCAAAGAGAGAGAGAGCTCAGTCAGTGCAGGGGTGGCTAGGCCTGCGGCTAATGTCTGGATGCTGAGCTCCAACAGTGTCCCCGTGTGGTCACATTCAGTATTGCAGAAGGGCGGCAGGGCCTGCCCAACTTCAGGAACCGAGACTGGCTTGGGCAGGGTGGGGAGGGTGCAGAATGGATCCAACATAATGGACAGTAAGAGAACCCGTGACAGTGTGAGTAGAGGCAGGTCACATGGGTTGCAGTTTCTTAGCACTGTCCACTGTCCAGGAGCAGCTGTTAGAAAATCAGTTATCATGACTTGGAAACTCTGCCCTTCTCCCTCTGTGTGGGAGAGCCTGGGCCGGGCAA